CCCCCCCCCAAAAAAAAAAAAAAGAAAAAAAAAGAAAGAACAACACAATCCAGCTAGTAATTCACTAAAGAGTCGCTTGGTTAAAAAACTAGTTATACAGACAATATTAAGCAAAGATTAGTAGTACAAGGAGCAGAAATGCAGGGATAGTATTGTAGGGATTACAGTGCAGGGATTAATTCTTGTTAGATGTATGGTTTATTGTATTAAAATAATATGTCTGAATAGATAAGGGCATCTTTGAGGTTTAAGTAGTTTTAATTCATGTATTGCCAATTCAGTATTCTTATTCCACATTCTACCATGCATAAAATAATACATATATTCCCGCGAGACTTATTTTGTACGGCAACCGGTGCACAAGGCATCCCGCACTCCAAGGCCTACCCTAATGCAAGCATTAATGGCTGGTTTCACGGCTCGAACCCGTGACATATAGATTCCTGCATGACTTATGCAGGTATTTTTCATAAAAAAGGAAAAATTACCGAGGAGGTTAATTCTCCTTATTCAAGCAACTAAACAATGTAAAAGTTATGTTGAATTAAGTGAGGGGATTGATTCTCCTTCTTTGTATAACCAAACACTAACATAGATAAGAATGTGTCACTCACAGCACCAAAAGAGATGGGAAGAGGGACAAAGAGAAAGAAAAGAAGGGACAGATCAAGAGCAAAAAGGCAACTCCAGAAGTATCATGCATCAAAGAAAAGGTCACTTTTTCAAGTTTCCCCGGATTAAATTGGATGTGGAACCTAGCAAGATAATACAGAATGGACATTAATATTTTCAGAAGGCAACAGAGAGCAGTGGGGATCTCACCCATGTGAAGTATGGTGCGATAAATAGGGATAAAATCTACTGACATGATAAATGCAAAAATTCTAAGAACTAGGAGAAAAATAGAAAGAAAGCGGAAAAATGCATTTTATAGAGATTTGAAAGAAAGATATCTTATTCTCTATAGAATTAATCCATTGCAAGTGATTTTAGTCCCAAAAAAAGGAATTAATATATTGTAATATTCTAGTGATCAGGAAGGAGGTATTAGAAAAGATGAAAATAAACGAACCTGACAGTTGCCATCTCCGGATACTTTTAACTCAAATAAATCATATACTTCCAACCTACAGAAAAAACGTTCTTATAAAAAATACATCCATCATTATACAAAGCAATTAGAAGAAAGCTTTTCTCTATTTCCCTATACATACATACATATGTATATGTATATGTATATGTATATGTATATGTATATGTATATGTATATGTATATGTATATGTATATGTATATGTATATGCATATGTATGTGTATGTGTGTGTATATAAATATATGTGTGTGTGTGTGTGTGTGCCAGTTCCCGGACACGTGGGCTGCACGTCTATGCCTTGTTAAAGTACCAATTTTTTTTCCAATACAAAATAAGGATTGCATAACTTGTATAGGGATTAATATACTGTTTCCTTACCAGAAACAAAGAATGTGGAATAAAAATAGTGGTAGCAGTATCTAAATTAACACACCATGATAAGAAAAAACACCTAACGACTATGAATAAGTACCCTAAAGTATGGTACCTGATTCTATTAGATGGGATTTTAACAAGCAAATTTGCTAAATTGGGAAAAGAGTTCCGTCTGTAGGAATGCTTTGAAATGAAGTTTGGGAGGAAATGCTAAGCAAGGCAAATGAAGGGAGAAATAATTTTTTTTACATATAAGTGGCATATGTATGCAAGATATTCTTTTTTACATTTAAGTGGCATATGCATGCACAATTGACATACAAAACACTGTCTCAAGGAGAGGTTAAGTGCATTTGAAACTCTCAGAAACTTCATCTCATAGAGTATTCATTGGCACTCGCTAGCTAGCTTGGAGAAGACAAAGATAAAGAGTACCTGACATAACTTAGTCTGACAAGTCCACAACTCCTTTTGCTAGCAAAAAACTATAAGTGGAAAGAAGTTAAAGTTACCTGTCCATCAGCCTTTGATGATCTGACGTGGCTTCATCTACTNAAATGGCCCACACATCAACCCCTCAGCAGCTGCATGAACCATAGATTTGTATTTGGCTGCTGGAAATTTATGGCATAAAAATAAAGAAAAATGAAAAAAAACCACTATAGCTCATAATGAAGTGACCAACTATAGATAAAGCTTTTTAGCATTTCTTTCAAGGACAAGCACACAGGTCCCAAAAAGGATACTGCGCATGAGGAGTTACAGCTATAAGATTTCTAGGTTTCCGTATAAGAACATCAGTAACACAACCTTGGGGATGACTTAAGATTGGCCTAATCACATGTAACCTGTTAGTACTTCTGATCTAGTCTACCATTTCCCTCACTTTGCACAAAGTAAAATATTTTAAATAAAAGAAATTGGGAAATTGGAATATGGAGAAAATCCTTCCTCTACTACATCAAGGAATTAAAACAGCAACAAACAAGTGCCTGATTTCTAGATCTTAAGAGGAAAGAATAGAACAGAGAAGTGAAAGAGTCGATTATATGCCACAGAATAAAAAAGCAATGGTATGTCCTTCCTCTAAAATAAAATGCCGAAAGGCAACAGCTGAAGACATATTTTTCCTCTTCAGACAACAAAGAATGCTTTCAACTGATTAGCAATTTCTTAGGTCAAGGGGAAGATGATGGCAGTCTCCCTTTCACTCTCCTGTATTCTTCTTAAAGCTAAAACTGAAGTTAACAAGGAACTGGTTCATTACTGCTGATCCGGCTTTTATTTTCTAGCTGTGGATGCGAATTCATGAGCTGGTTCATTACTGCTGATCTGGCTTTTAGCTGAAGTTAACAAGGAACTGGTTCATTACTGCTGATCTGGCTTTTATTTTCTAGCTGTGGATGCGAATTCATGAGCATTACGCTAACCTTAAGGTGAGTTGATGTTTAACAGACTTGCTCACCCTATGCCTGTTTACTAATAAACTGTTTCTGTGTCAACATACACTACTAAAAAGCTGGAACCCTACTTTACTTTTCCAGAAACTATAAGAAGATAGTGTCCAACTATGACTAGTCGCGATTGCAATTCCAAAAGCACATCCCATTTACAGCTAATGCAAAAAGCAAGCAGAAATCCCAATATCCAAATACAGAAACCCCAAATTATCATTGGCGTCGGAAAATAATTCAAGCAATGCAGTTATTCAGAAATCCTGAATATTTTGTAAGTACTGTCTCTAAAATCAGTAAGAGTAAATTTTTTAGCTACAAGTAAAACTCACAGGGATGGCAGCCAACTGATTCAGCCGTTTCCCAACTTCACCATCAAGAAGAGATTCATCCTCTATCTCCGGTGAAACTTCTTGATACCCCCAATTGGATGATGCAGCTGTGCGAGGGCAAAATGTTATCATTCCGTTACTATCTGTGTCTTCCCCATTGCCATCAAGTGCTGCACATTCCAAAGTATTATCAACATAAGTATGCAAAGCAGAGCTGTCTAATCCATGTACATAAAACTAACGCCTCTTCTATACCAAAATTGTAATTTCTCCTTGACGGTGCAATCCAATCCTGAGCAAGAACTGACGCATTTCGATGTTCTTCTTCGGTGTGTGAAGATTCTACAGAATCCACGACTGAAAGTCGTGATAGTTCCTCCTGAAGGGCACGGGCAATTACCTCATCATTCTCCACGTTAACATGTGTAGGCTCACAATAACCTTCTCTCACGTATCCATCTTGAGAAAAATCCCTGTCATACTGAGTAACAGTTCCGAGAGAACCACCGTTGTTTATAGAACAAACATCTATAAGGTGGAGATTCCACCTCACTACGTCAGGATCTAGCTCATAAACAGTCATTTATGTTTACAAATTCCTGCAGTCCCCAAAGAATTAGCAAGAAATGGAGTCAACACATCCCTTTCCACAAGTTTTTACACTAATAGGTTTTACGCATCACGACAATAATGAGAATATCAGTCACGTTCAATAGTCATCCATATCCTCTGGAAGAAATTTTAAACAAAAAATGGAAAAATGAGTTCACACAAACACATTCATACATTCAGAGACACATGACACAGACATTTATTGGAGCTGTCAGAACGTTGCGAATAAAGTTGTGCCCATAGCGGTGACATCTAGTCTTTCTGCATCTTAAAAGAAGGTCAGGACATAATACATCAAAGGTAAAATCCTAAAGCTTTATGGTTCCTTTACCTCCATAAACTTTTGTGCTCTCTGCTTATTGTAGAAGAAGAGCTTTTTTCCATTGTCACTTACACTTCCCAAAACAGGACTTGATTCAATGAATCAACAAATTTCAGTAATGGTTCAAGCTCTGCCTATAATCCTGCAACATATGCTACAGAGTAATTGTATTCTGGTAAATTTCCTTCCCGAAAGGGTCATATCTACCTGCGTTTTTCAGACCTATGGAGGACAGTTCTAAAGGAATTCTACTAGCTTTGTTGAAATAAATACTTACTTAAACGGTTGACTTGTGGGACTTACATAAATGACATCCAAAGGAAAGTCAGTCACTAAATAGAATCTTTTAATGCTTAGGATAGACAAGCTAAAAGGTCAAGAAGATCATGCAAAATACAAAATCCTTCTACTTTCAAACCACCCACAAATCGAATTATATAAAATAGATAAGCAAAGTAAAATTTCTAATTCCGCATATGGATAATTGCATGGAAAGGCATAACAGGTGGGAGCCAATGGTGCCAGACAACCTACAGTATGTTATTTCCACCCACCCAGGAAACACATCAGAGCTCTGATAATGCACCACGTTTTTCTGCCAACTGAGGTATGAGAATATCAGGAAAAATATGGGTTTTTTCACACTTCATCTAGCAGCAAAGGTAACAATATACAGCTAGTTGGCTGCAAATACATTTAAACAACAAAGTATACCTATAGGAATTCTCATTAAAAGATTCAATTATCTTGCAAGAGTTAAGCTCCCCTGATCCCCTTCATTCTAGGAAGTGGTGGCAAAATAAATAAAAACACTAGAAAATTAATTTACTTCTTAATTCCAACTCAAATATATGTGCAACATCAAAAGGGAGTGAATAAAATTTTGTTGCACCTACTATCGAATTTCTACCACACAAAGATGACAAGCCTCACATATCTGTACAACTTATACCAAGTTACTAACCATTAACAGTTGCCACTTACAAGTCACAACAATGACATTTCTCAAGAAGTAAATGAGTGATTTATTGACCCAATAATAAAAATCCAAGAACATAAACAAACTTCAATGCAAAGTCACAATGATGACAGACTTATTGAACTACTTAGAAGCTCTTTCTCACAAGTAATATGGCACATCAACGTTCACCAGATTCACTCAAAGAACAATTTAAAATACATGCATAACATTGGCATACGTTATCACTACTTCAATTTCCTGGAAAGTAATTCATTAACTTTCTATAACTAATTAAATAAAACCAAACTAATACTCGATTAGAAAAGACTTCTCTTTTCAGGAAGAAGAACACTTCATGCGATAGCCAGACAAAATGCTAGACCAAAGATTTGATCTTCATAAACATAAAATTAAATCACAAAAGCATTTAGTTGCTTTTTCCAATTCTAACAAACAAATTTCCAATTAGCAAAAAAAAAAAAAAAGTCTCATCTAATAACAGGATCATAGAAGTATTATCAATCCCTACAATCTCTGAAAAGTCTGAAACTGCCAAAAAATTTATTACAAGTACGTATGAAATTGAACTGATGCAGTTGAACGTACGAACCTTTGAATATAGCCACTAATTCTTCAAACTTAGGGGGGAAATCGTTATGTAGAAAGCAGAAAAAGAAAAATCTTCAATATATTTTTAAAACAATCGAAGAGTTCGACGCGTAAAAGCGTGAAATCAGCAGAACGCCGCCGTATTTGGAAACGCCGTGGTGGAGTAGTTGAAGAAAGATTGTATCATAAACATTCTTTGAATGGGAAAGCGAAAAGGAACGAACGTCCGAATTTCCGGCGTGAAATGGGACTCCTATACTGTGGGGGCCCACCTAATCTTCCTCAGCAATTTGTTAAACCGACTTTTTGGCTGAACTCGAAGATGCGCCGCCAAACCGACACGTGTCCTGGGGCAGTGGCACCTGCAAATCTGCAACCGGCAGACGCCCGTGACTGTGTTGGTGTTGGTGTTAGTGGAACGTGTGATGTTTCACACGAAAGATTCCACAATTTATTGGACTTAATTAATTGAGAATATCTAGTTGAAAACTAAAATTTGAGAATCTAGTGATATTCTTTCTTTTAAGAATGTGAGAGAGGAGTGTACCGATAAATCCTGAGGTCGTTAGATTCATGAACAAGTATAATTTAAACGTAAGATCAATACATTAATGTGAAAAATATAGTATAATTTAAACGTAAGATCAATACATTAATGTGAAAAATATAGTATAATTTAAACTTGATAATGTGAAATACATGTATATGTAAGATTTTGTATCATTGATGTACGAGAAATTTATTGTAATTATGCACTATCATGTGTTTAAACTTGAGTAAGCAAGTTTAGCAATAAAATAAGGTAAAATTCCAAGGCCAATAACAAATACGAGCGGCGTTGAACATGACAATCCTGTTCTTTCACAACATTGCATAACCAAATAACAATTTATCAAGACAACCAAATTACTTCAACAACAAAGTCATCGCAACAACTTGAAAACTTTTATTTTGTGCCTGTGAGGCCTTGTTTTGTCTCGCAACAAAGTAGGGTCGGGCATATAACGGGTAAAACCGATAATCCTAACCGTTAATTGTTTATTGGATTATCGGTATCGGGTTATTAGATTAACGGTTCGGTAACTGTTTAGAATTTTTTTACTATTGGGTTATCGGTTCGGCCTCGATTTGCCAATTTTATTAATGGGTTAACCGATAACTCAATAAGAATTAATAAAATTACGACTTTATATGCTAGGCTTTCAGTTCATTCTCTCCTATTCTTTCTCGGCCACACTCTTCAGTTGCTTTATCTTTATTCTTCATGGACCTTACTAGTTACCCCTAGCGTAAGTCTTTAGTCTTATACATTAGGCTTTTAATTTTTATAACAAAATTCATCTTTATAAAGGGATTACTCTATGGTTTCTTTTTTCAGGTTAGGCATTTGACAAACAACATAAATTTTATCTTGGACTGTTTGAGGGCTTCAACGCTTGTAGAACTGCAGGTATTGTGTGAAATAAAAATTCTAAATCAACTATTGTTGTTATCATATCAGAGGAGGCAGCTAATGCCTTGGAACATTTTATGGGAATTGCTGCAGTTTGATAAGTATTTATCCACTAATTTTTTGGTGAAGCCTATACGGATTATATTTGGACTTGTTAATTTAAGGTGAAATTGCTACTACTTTGTATTATTATTAATGTATTTGGACAACTGTTGTTGAAGAGTTAGTACTATTCCAGTTGTGGCCACTGGACAGAACGCAAAAATGGGTAGTATACTATATGTGAATTCTTCTCTTCTTTGCTTAACTCTAGTGAATTGTCTTCTCTTTTTTGCTTAACTCTAGATTGAGTTATCTTATCGGGTAGTCAAAATATAGAAATCATATTATATACATAATATGTATATTATATGTATTTACTTATCATACAAAATATATATATCCCGGCTATTAATTTTTGGGCGGCCCAAAAAATATAATTAGTCCTATAAATATAAAATTAGGGCAATATTTACCCCCTTTTAGCTAGACTTTTCTATTTACAGAAAGTAGATAGAGTTTTTTTTATAAAATATGTACAAATTTGGTCAAATCGTACAATTTATATACAACTTGTATACAACTTTTTATTGTACACAATTCAAGCTTTGTCTGTCAAACAATAATGGGGGCTAAAAACATTACAATTGAGTGAAGCTCTGGGTCTCTACTATTATTGTGACAAATTGACATTGGACTGTCACGACCCAAAATTTCACCGGAGTCGTGATGACGCCTAACACCTCTTGCTAGTCAAGCCAAGAATAACTATATGGAAATAAAGCCAAGAATAACTATATGGAAATAAACTTCAGCAACAGTAAGAAATAGTCTCAAATAGTGGAATGACATAAATAAATAAAGTCAAATGACTATAAAACTGAAACCATCCAAAATCCGGTGTCACCGAGTGCATGAGCTCTATAGAGTACTAAATACAAAGTGTGGAAAAAATATAATACTTTCTGAAAAACTAAATAACAATATCATAAGATGAAGGAGAAGACTTCAAGGCCTGCGAATGGGACATCAGTGTTACCTCGAAGCCTCCGAGCAAATCTGGATGACGACACATTAGCAACCACCGGTATCGACAACATTTGGATATGTACATTAAGTGCGGAGTAAAGTATGAGTACAACCGATCATATGTACTCAATAAGTAATAAGCCTAACCTCGTCCTTAAAGCAGAGATGAGGTTGGCAAGGTCCAATACTCACTTTCAATAGTCAATAACAATAATAACAACACAATAACGACAAAAGGAAAAACAACTCAAATGATATTAGGTTCAACTCTATCATAATAAGAGGAGAAATAAGCATACTTTTAAGTATATCGGTCAAGGCATCAACTTTTTCACAGAAATCACCTAGACAGGGATTTAACAAAGTAAATTGCGACTTCAAGCTCTAAACATCAAATACGAATTAGCATGAGGAAAAATACAGCTATATGCCTACATGACAAGTATACATTATAAAATCAACAACAACATAGTATAATCATCAAGTACACAAAATCTCAGTATATTCATAGTGCCCAGTATTGCGAGGTGTTGCTAAAAAGGTGGCTACTGGTGATGATAACGTTTGCGCCTTTAGAGTCAGACTTGTGTTTCTAATGTGAATGTATGCAAGAGTTGATTCTTGAGGAAGCTCATAGTTTGCGATCTTATATTCATCTAGGTGCTATAAAAATGTACCATGATTTAAAACAACATTATTGGGGGCAGAGGATGAAGAAAAATATTATTAGATATTCTGTGTGGTGTTTGAATTACCAGTAGGTGAAGGACGAACATCATAGACTGGGTGGTTTGCTTTAGAGGTTAGAGATACATACGTGAAAGTGGGAGAACATTACTATGGACTTTATGGTAGGATTCCCACAGACTTTGAGGAGGTTTTATGTTGTTTGGGTCATTATGGACAGACTTACCAAGTTTGTGCATTTCATTCTAGTCATGAATTCCTACACTTCAGAGAGTTGGCTAAGATCTACATCAGAGAGATTGTCCACTTGCATGGTATGACTGTGTCTATCATCTCGAATGTCGTGCCCCTTTTTCTCGTGAAATCGGGTTTCGATGTGTGACAATTCTTTTAAATGGATATTAAGAGAGAAGAGACGCCACCTAACGGATTAAGGTGCATTAGGGTACCTATTTGCAGATAACTCTGTCTAACTAGTTTGCATCACCAACGATCGGGTAAGGGCTCAAAATTACCTCGAAGAGAAGGTGTTAGGCACTCTTCGAGGTCCACAACTGTAGGTCCCGGCCGAACTCAATTATATGAATTAGTCTAGGTGATCAAGTACAGGAAAAACAAGGAATTTGGGAAATTGTTTATTAAACACAAATAATTGACGAAAGGCAATATGGGGGAGGGGGTCCTAAGTTTTTTAGCCTAAAGGATTACCCCGACAACATAAATAATACTCCGTAACTCTCTTAGGATGGGGTGTTACTCATATTATTCAGCGGGCACAGACTATCATCTCCTACTACCCAATTGCTATCTTTAAGTTGTTACCTAAAACGCACTAGTTGGTTCTAAACCGTACCCTATGCGTGCATTACCCGTCCCCAGGAGGCGTTTGGACCTCTATTTGAGTGGTTCTAGATTTAACTTAGGTTTCTCAAAAATGAGAAAACTAGACGATATACAAAACAAGCTGAAATTCATATAAAAGCAGTTAAGGGCTCAAGTTAGCCTCCACACTCAAACAACAAATGCACGCAGACTAATTAATAAAGACAGTTGCAAATTTTAACAAGTTGAAGTTGCAGAAACCTATTGGCAGGATCTCTATGTGATTCTGGATTTAACGAGCGGGCAGTTTACAATCTCTAAAACTTACATGGTTGACTACTGTTTACAGGTATAAGAAATTAAACCTATAGGCATGATTTCTAGTGATAATAATTAGCACAGCGTTGAAGACTATTAAGGAAACAAGTAGGATAATTAATTAAACTGATTCAGACCCTATAGATATGAGTTCTATAATTAAAACTGGTTTTAGATCCTATAGGCATGATTTCTATAACTAAAATGATTTTTGATCCTATAAGCATTATTTCTATAACTAAGACTGATTTTAGATCTTATAGGCATGATTTCAATAACTAAACTGATTTTAGATCCTATAGGCATGATTTCTATAACTAAAATTGATTTTAGATCCTATAGGCATGATTTCTAACAAGCAGGAGCAGAACACATTCGGACCAAATGAAGAACCTATCGGCAGGATGGCTAACATATAATAATTGAACATTCTGAGCATAATGATATACCTATAGGCAAGATTTCTACAATAACTAGAAAGTAACACGTTTTGAGCAAAGATAAAATACCTATAGGCATGATTTCTAACACATGATAGCTGAACACGTTTGAGCATATTTTAACTAAGTAATGAACCTATATGCAAGATTTTTACCCATTTCAATGCAAGTATAAGATAAAAGCCCCTTCCCCAATTTCACTAATACCCCAAAATGTTACTACAAGACTTATTACAGACACAGAATGAATAGAATAAATTACAAAGTTGAATAGCTATAGGGAGCCTACAGCAGGCCCAAAGGTACACCTGGCCACGCTAGGCCTTCATTCTCACAGTTCACAACAACCCAAATATTATATGTTCATGGACATAAGGCAGCCAAGACTTGAAGGATTCCCCCATTGGTCTTAAAACAGAGTTGAGCATATAGAACCAAGACCATAGTGTGTCAGAATTCCCAAGGGCTTCAAGAAACCAGGGCAGTGCTCACACTAGGGATATTAGCAGAGATAACTCAGAGAAGAAACTAGGGACCAAGCCCTAGTGTGTCAGAGTTCACAAGGGTCTCAAATGAACCCTGAGCAATGCTTACACTAGGGAGGTCAAAGGACAGAACCTAAGTGGCCTTGGCTTTCAGC